GTAGGGATGGTCCCGATAGCCAGTGGAGGGGTGCAGGGACATGGAAAGTGGCTGCTGGCTCCAACCGAGCCACTTTTCTCCTTTGCAGTGAGGTCTCCAGCCCAGAAGGCATCTGAGCCTGGTGCTTTGTCCAGGGGAAACACGCCGGGCAGTGGTTGGGTGGGTGTCCTGCAGGTGCTCCCTGGTGTAAAGGAAGAGGTGTTGGACACCTGGTGTTCTCTGCTGTTCCCATAGTACCTCTTCCGAGAGGTACCAGGGACTTGCTATGATCAAAATGTTAATTTTTTTTATTCTGTATTTGGCAACTTTGTAGGCCTGCATCTCAAAGTAACAGCTGATAGTCAGAATTCAGGGTGAATGGATGATCCATCCTTTTCAAAAGCAGGAGCGAGCTGCTGCCTTTATCACTTCTTGCACTTAACAAACATGGGGTCAAGCTTTTACTGAGATACTGTTTTGAAGTGTTACCGCTCTTTGATAAATATGGCTGCTGTTGTGAACTGTTTTCATAGTCTTGTTATCGCTTTCTAAATTTGCCAAAGAATATTCCTTGGGAAAGTGCAAAACCGATGGGATGGAGCTTTCTAGCATTGCAGTGTATCTGAATGACACAAAATGACGTTAATATGAAGTTAATCGTGGGAAAAGCGGTCACAGCTTTTTAACATGGAAAACCTGTTTTCTTTCCATCCTGTAGCTTAGATCTCACTGGTGTTTTCACCCTCAGTTGCTTCATCTGAAGACTTTTAGTTCTGCTTTGACTTGCACTAATTGTTTAAGAAAATGGTGTTTGTGCGATGTCGTCGGAGATCTGACGGGAGAGATGATGGGTTTCTATTCCAGTGGTCTTCCATGGGAAACTTGTTCTTAATCTTGGGCTGGTGCTATCGTACCTGTTAGCTCATAACAGATTTGGGTTAAAGAGCATTTTGATGTGATACTAAAACACAAGGTGAAAGTCTCAAAGCACACTGAAGTCTCAGCATAATTTTTTAAGAAAACAGGTACACTCCAGTTAACAAAGGGTCTTGATATGGAAGACTGCTAAATTTTAAAGGCAGTTGCAGAGACTCTTAGCTGGGTAACTACTGAAAAAGAATTTAAATGGATTATGAAAGATTAATTCTCTTCCCTCGCTGTGTTTTACCAGCAAAACAAACATGTGGCCTTTGTCTCAGGAGACTGAGCTGTTGACTCTCAGGCGAGCGCCCTGGGAAGGAGCCTGTCTTTCTGTTACCGTATGCTCACTGTTGTGCCCAGCTTTAAGTATCTGCTGCCGGGTAGGACAGCAGGCTTGTCTTGGCCTATTTCGATGCTGCTGTTATGATATTCTTGTCTTGCTCCTTGAATTTTTTTTCTTGTGGATAGTCTAAAAAAAAAAACCTACCAAACCCAACCTTTCTCTTCTAGTCTAACAATGTTTGCAAGTAGGCTGTTAAGTATTTTTGGAATTAAAAAAACCCATGGTTTTGCAGACAGGTTTTGTTGAGAGCAGGGATTTGCAAAAATTTGTCTTGGATTTAAATTTTAAACCTCTTTCCTTCTCTGTACACAGAGATTTACCTCTTATTGAAACGATGATCTATTTCATCTTTCACTGTGTGCAAAATGATCTTGGTTTTCTGTGTTTTGTGTGTCACTGAGGTCTTGGACTTCGGACAGCAGCAAAATTGATCACTCCTCACTGGCATCTCCCTGATCATCTGTAGTCTGCCTGTCCTCCTCACTTCAGCAGTGAGAGATTTGGCATGGCCACTGCCAGCCTAATGCCAAAGTTCGTTGTGATGTTGTAAACATGTCCTTATTAAAACTATGTCGGCTCAAATGCAATCTAATACATCACTGTTTTTCAGAGTTTTCTATAAGAGCTCTTCCTTGGCACTTCAGAGCCTCTCTTCATGTGCTGGTACTCTGTCTGGGCAGGCTGGTTGGCGAGGCGGATCTGTAGCAATCTCTTCTACCTTATGTTTCTAATTATTTAGCCTTTCAGTTTGTTTGAGGCTTGACAATGGACTCCTTGTACATGGTGGTAACAACAGCCAAGTGAATGCTGTCAAACTCGGCTTTTTACTAATAAGGGGAGTTTATTCTGCCATTTCTCTTTTTCCCTTCATCTAATCAACTTTTACAGTGTACTTGCTTTTTTTTCCTCTGTCCCTACTCTACTTGAGAGTGATCTGGAGCAGATATTTTTTCTTCCCTTCTTCCTGTAAGCAGTAATTTGAGGGGAGGAGTCGGTCACTGTTCTGCACTTGCTATGTTGTCTGGAATACCAAGGCTGTAAAAACAGATTGGGTTTTCCATAGCTGTGTCTAGTCCTAAAGCTAGTAGGTGGCAAACTGGTTTTTGAAACCTTGAGAGAAACTTCCCCCGTAAAGGCTGAACGTGGCTGAAAATAACAGCATGCCTCAGTGTCATGGGAGGTGTAGGGAGGAGGTGGCATATATCTACCTCGGAGGCAGTTTCCAAGTGAATTGTTCCTTCTTTTCCCTCTGTCTTCAGGGACTCTTCGGTGTAGTTACTAAAAGTGAAAGCGGAGACAAGCATAATGACTCGCTGCCCACGATAAAGGCTTACAGAGTGCTGCTTTTCCGGATAGAGCTGCATCTCTGCCCTGAAGAAGTCTGGTCCACTTCTGTTCCAGCACTGAGCAAGCCCAACTGTTCCTGAAGCAAACGTACCTGAGGGTGAGTTCATCATAATCACTTGTTTGTAATCATGCTTTAAGCTGTCAAAAACCTACGTTTCCATAATCAGTTTTAATCTTGACTTATGTCTATTTTTGTTTCCTTAGGTAGATTCTTACTCATTGCTAATCCCTAAAATACAGCCTTTCCGTACTTGTTTTGATGACAGGGTAGGTTTGCTGTGTTAACGTTTTCTTAAGTTACAGAACAGCTTAACTAAATTCAGATTCTAAGTCTGTAACACATTAACAATGCAGTTTTACATTTTGGTAACATAAGTTCCTAAAATACCCTTAAGTGACCTGGATTCATAAATATAAGCTTATTTTTTCCTTCAGAAGATATCTTTTGCATTTAACATAACTCTCTTTTCTTTAACAAAAAAAAACCCTCAAAACCCAACACACCACCAACCTACCAAGCCCCTCAACCTTTAAGTCACTCGAACCGGTTGTGGCTACACAATCCCGTTTAAGATTGACACGAGCTGTATTGGCACCCTTGCAACTACTTGTTACTTGCTGACTGGGGAGATGACAGCTGTGTTGGCTCAGATGGAAGGACTCCTGGGCCTGGTGTCCCACCTCTTGCTGTGATCAAACTGGTTAGAGAATAAGACAAGCACGTTGTGATGCTGAAACCCTCTTAATTGTCTCTGGTTTGGGTATTTCTTGAACCACAAGTCAAGATCTTGTATATTTTTGCAATTAATATCCCTTAAGGAATTTTTTTTTTCCCCTTAGTTAGCCTTCACTTCTTAATACTCAACTCTTCAACATGCTAAAAGAAGACAATGTACTTGAAACCTACAGAAGCGGCTGTGGGAGCCTGTTTGTAGTGCTTTTCCAGTGACAGCTGAACACCCAGAGACCTGCTCATATGACCAGTGTCTGGCTTCCCACATAATGTTGTTATGATCTTGTCCCGAATAGCAGCCAGCAATTGCACGGTTGCCAGTTGGCTCCGACGGTAGGGGCCCTTTCATATTTGAACAACGTCTTTGGCAACTGTCTTGACTTTCTTTTAATTTTATAGTGCTACGTGTCTGCTGTTAAATAGATAATTACATAATAGTAATAACCTGTTACAGAGATTGTGGTGAACATCCTGTCTTAAATGTTAAACTTGATTCTTAAAAGAATAACATTAATTTAGTCTTAAAAGTTACTTATGCACTTCAAGCATGCCAGGGTAAGTAGTGAAATGATGTCTTTCATAGGGCTTTATATAAGCTGAGACTTTACATAGATATTCCATGGAAATATACCCTATGGCTTGAAAAATAACATGTAATGGGGCAGGGTTTTGAATCCTTTTGCTCTTGCTAGCATGCTCAATTCAGTGATTCTGAGGGATTGCCCTACAGTCACAATTACTAACGGGCCTGTGTTTGATCCAAACCATTTGAATAAAGAACAAAAGTATGACTGTAACACTCTTGGTTCCCAAAGAGAGAAAAGGGGGTTGATGCTAGATCTGAACAAGCATACCACCTGCACAGAAAACACCCTTTTCTAAATCCCAGTTAGATTTGTATGCATTAAAATAGTGTCTGTAATTCCTGATTTTTTTCAGGGTTGGTACTTAGTATTTCTTTTGGGTGAAAATCCAGCTGATGTAGGCGTGTCCCCAAAAAGACGTGTTTATATGCAGATGGACTAAACACTCAGTTCACTGTTAAATCTGCTCTTGTTGAGATGAGCCAAAACAGTAAAGAACTAGTACTAAAATGTTGGTTGTTTTGTGGAGTGGAAATTATACTGAATATTCCAGATGTGAAAGGAGAACCTTAAAACACACAGTCTTTATGTGGGAGGCTTGAGCAGTATGTCTCTAGAGAGAGTAAAGAAGAAAAGAAACTGTTAATACTCATCACTTAAAGGGTAGCAGTTTGCTAGATTTAAGGACAAAGTTGTTCCTCTGCATTCAAAAACTATGCAAGAAATGGGTATTAATAGGTAGTGTAGAAAGCAATAGTGTGGGGGCGGGAGCTACTTACCCAGTGAACCTCCTCCTCCTCCTACAATAGACTTTCAGGTACAAACTTTACATTTCCTGAGTGCTTTAACCACCAAGGCTGATTCTGTTTGCTAAAATAGAAATTCTTCTGGTATTCATTAGAAGTAGTAACACTGACTCTTGTTTTGGGTTTGCTTTTTCAGACCTCCTTCTGGATGACCAATGTGTATTTTAAGCGATTATATCGGAAACTTAAGCCTCCAACTTCCCGTTCATTCCGGCTGATAGCAACGCTTATAATGCAAAAAAATCACAATTCAGGGTCACACAAACATTACTCTTAAAACTTCCTAGATGATTGTAGTTGCTTTGGTTGTGTTCTATGCTAGCAGAAGCCTTTTTCAAGGTTTACTGCTGACTCTAGAGCACCACATTCCCCGTTTACTGGGAGTCTTGGGGGCTAGCAATATGGGAAACTCGTGTGTTTGCCGTGATGACAGCGGAGCAGAAGACAACGTGCAATCTCGGAGTCGGCAAACAGAGAACAGTAGAGCACACTTACCTGAAGCGAGAAGCCACCTAAGGGACCCTGTCCGTCCACCCAGGAGGGGTCGAGGGCCTCATGAACCAAGAAGGAAAAAACAGAATGTGGATGGGCTAGTACTTGACACACTGGCTGTAATTCGGACGTTAGTAGATAAGTAAGTACCTCCTCAAGGAGTAATCCAACATGAATGAAAATGTTCTTGTCTTCTCTCAAACTGTGACTCCATCCTCTCATCGATCTACACCTGACCCTCCCTGAAGCAGCTGCGTGTTTCCATCTGGAGGCTTAGGAGAGGAGCACCTTTCCTAGGTGACAGAAGTAGCTCCTGAGTGCTCAGGCACAGACTCTTCCAGGAGCTGAGGAGCTTTCTCGTAGTTCCTGTATGAGCCTACATCCAGGTGGGATGAGGAGCGTGCTCCATATTTCTTACCTGGCATAGATACACAGTTTAGGAAGTAATGAACACTCCAGAGTTTGGGAATGTCTGTCCTAAAAATTGGTGGTTGTGCAAGAATTCTGTTTTCAGGCTGTATTTACTTCCTTGGAGATGGTGAAGCAAAACTGAGAGCTTTGATCTTTGTTAGCTTGTATAAACAGACTGAGGTTTTCTTTCCAGTTAGAAGTCTGACTGCTTTTTGAAGACCGCATGTTGTGGCTGTTCAACTCATGATCCCGGTATTGCATTCCTTGCATGCTCAAAGCATCCACTAAGGGTGTGGGGGATATTTATGGAGTCATCAGCTTTTTTGGTTTTGCATTGCTTTCTACGAAACTGTACAAGGGCCTTAAAAATGCTGGGTTAGCTTAACCTAAAAGGTGATGAGCTGGGTGCAGGCTAAGAATTGGGAGGGAAGGCCTAAACATAAGAAACCCACTACTGTAACTTCACAGCTGGGATTTAAGGTGAGCGAGGTTCAGGATAAGTGAGTCTTGATTCATATACCTGATTTCTTACTCTGGAATGTGCCTGCAGAGGAGGAGTTTGCCTTCCTGCTGTGAAATGCTTTAAATGGAAATACCAGCACTTTTTTTTTTCCTGAACTTTTAAATCTAATAGGATTTTTTTAAAAATAGGTTTTATTTTGTGGTCTGTCTTCAAATCATTAAGTTAAAATCATGGCAAACTTTTCTAGAAAGTCTCTCCCTAATCTCTCATGCCTTCCCCTTTTCCCTAGGTTCAGCTCCTTAAGCTGTTTCACAACGCTTTTGTGCACAGCTGATCTGTTCCTGTGGGTCTCGCAGTCGGTTTCGTAATCTTGTAAGCACTTTCCTATGCTACTGAGCAACAATAGGCATAGTTATTTCACTGATCCTGGAGTCCTGTTTCTGACAAATTCCTTAATCTACTGTAATTTTATTTCATACTGACTGCAGTGAAATGCTTCCTAAGGCTCACATAATCACAGAGGTTGGAAGGGACCTCCAGAAGGTCATCGGCTCCAGCCTCCTGCTTTAAAACCCAGGTCTAGCTTGGAGCCAGGTGGCTCAGTCTTACCCAGTCAAATGTTGAGCGTCTTCAGAGTATGGAGATTCTCCACCTCTTTGGGGCCCTGTTCCAGTGTTTGACCACACTCCCGTGCTTTAAATAAGTACATATTTTTAAAAGTTGGAGTTTTACATGTTCCAGCACACCCCTGCTGCCTCTTATCCTGTAGCTGTGCACCTGCGAGAAGGGTCTGGCTCTGTCCTCTCTGCTCTTTCCAATAATGTAGTTGCAGTAAGATTTCCCCTCCCCTACCCTCTCGTAATGATGAACAAATCTATTTCTCTTAGCTTTTGTTTGTATGCCACGTTCTCCAGCCCTCGACCATCTCGGCAGCCTTCTGCTAGACACACTTGCTTACAGCAATGCCTTTCTCATCCTGGGGAGCCAAAAAGTGGCTGTGCTGATATCCTGGGTTCCCTTGATTCATATTAAGGCAGTTGGTAAGACACAACCTGTTTTATATCACAGCTACAAGTGACAAGTTCTTGCAGATAAGACAAAGACCTGTGGCTGTGAGTAACCGAGGGGCCTGTTCGTGAGACATATCTAAATATGTCTGGAAAAAATTAAGGAGTCTTTCTCCTAGACCTGAAGCTAATGATAGTCCTTTTTAGATTAATAGGAATGCTCACTTCGGGGTGGGGAAGAATCCCATCTCTGGAAATCTTGGTTTTCAGTGTGAGAGGCTGTAGGAATAAGTATGTTCCATTATTACCTGTTTCTCTTAGAGCCATTAGGGTTAGGATTTTTCAGTTTTGAAAATGCCACAACTGAAAGATATGGTAGGGAAGCTGACAGAGCTCTATGTCAAAATGTGCAAGAATAAGGTCAAAGTAAAATTAAACCATGTAAGTAACAGCAGGTTGGGAATACGGGCTTTGGTGTAATAGTAACGGGTTTAAACCGAAAGAAGGCAGATTTAAATTGGGTGTAAGGAAGAAATTCTTCATGGAGAGGGTGGGGATGCACTGGAACAGGTTGCCCAGAGAAGCTGTGGATGCCCCATCCCTGGAAGTGTCCAAGGCCAGGCTGGATGAGGCTTGGAGCAACCTGGTCTAGTGGAAGGTGTCCCTGCCCATGGCAGGGGGGTTGGAACTGGATGGGCATTAAGGTCCCTTCCAACCCAAACCATTCTGTGATTCTATAACAGTCCAAGGGATGGAAGGCAAAAAAACCTTTTTTTTTTTTTTTTCTCTGACAATCCATTTCCAAATTCTGTGCTGAAAATTAATAGATGGGGACACTGAGAGGAATGGTAAATTAAATTGTTAACACCACGACCTGCAGTGAACAGTTGCTTTCCCGGTTTGCTGCTTGTTTGGGTTTTCTTGACAGGCGTTTTGTTTGTTTTATCAAAAGTTCAGACCTAAAACACTTCTGACAACTGCTTTTTTCCTCTCATATCTAAAGAGAACTCCTTTTCCTTCTAGAAAGGAGTTAAGCTTTGTTTCCTAGCCTCAGAAGAATAAGTACTAATTTTTGGAGTTTATATGAGTGCTGCTTTACAAATTAAGAAACTGGCAAAATGACTGATTTGTTTCCAAATGAGGAAGCTGGGGATATTTGAAAATTAAGTGGTTAAAATGGCAAATCAGTGGGACAGAACTCGCCTTTGTTCAGTGCCAGTACTGCTAACACCTGCTCCCCGTGACAGAATCAGAAGTCTTGCTGATTAAAAATTTCCTCCATTTTCATCATAGCCTTATGGCATTTTTTTCTTCTTTCTTGGAGTCTTGACATCCTTTCTCTTGGGGTAATTCTGCTTGCATCATTGCGCTGCTTTTTCTGCTGGGGAGGTTAGTTTCCTGAGGAAAAGCAAAGACATGAGGGAGGATATTTATTTCCAATGTTATGGCAATATACGAATTTGTTTAAACTTCAGCATTTTCATGTGTAAATATTTGTCTGTGATTTATTTCGTAAGAAAAGCATGTATTTTAATCATATATTTCCAGTCAAAACTGAGATTTTTCTCTTCTTTTATAATTAATCCCTCCAAAGTAGGTAGCTTTATCTGCATGATTAATCTGTGATGACATTTTCTAAAATTCATCTGTATTTAGCATTTCTGGTTTCATTTCAGAGGCGTGTGACAGAAATGGAGTGTGGCACATATCATTCTAAGCCCGGGGTTAGTTCACAGTGCCTCGGCAGCACTGAATAAAGCATCTGGGACACGCTGCTGCATAAGCCCTTTTCTGGACCGGGAGATGCTTATTGAATAGGATTTTGAGCTCCTGCCTTAGGGGCTTTCCACAACAGTGCCTGCTCGGATAAGCACTGGCCGTAACTTCTTGCCGTTGTCCCACCAAACCAGATTGAGGAACTGATCTACTTGAACTTTGGTTTTCACGTCGGGAAGGGAATTGGGTTAAATATAGTCTGTTAAACTGCCTTAACTGTTTCTTACAGTTCTTGTTAATGAAGCTGAAGTCTGTGATGCTGTTGGGTGACTTGCCTTCCAGTTTTGTGGGATTTTTTTATATAGTTAGCAGAGAATTTCTGGGGGAAAGAAAATCATGATTAAGCGGTGTCCCTTGTGTACTGCTCTTTGTTCACTTCATGCGCTCTGACATGTAGTCTCATCACACACTCCGAGGAACCCTGCTAATGAACAGCACTACGCCTGAGCATTATGTTTAGCTTTTAGACTTGCAGATACAGATCACCATTTCATTTATCAGCCATTGTAGATGTGCAGATGTTGACTTTGAGCCAGAGAAAGGCTCAAATCCCATCTGTGTTTCAGATCTGAAAATGGCATTAGCAGCTTGCAGCCTGTGCAACTCCCTCTTGTTAAATACTTACTGGATTCATTTTCTGTCTGTGTATTATGTTGATGATCATGCATAAATTTTGACCTGTGTAATATCTCTTTCAGTGACCAGGAGCCTCCTTATTCAATGATCACGTTGCATGAAATGGCAGAAACAGGTATCAAGGCACTGTGGTGGGCGTTCAGTTGTGACTCCAAAGCAATAAAATCCCTCTCTTCTTTGCAAAGAAAAACACGCGCTAGCAGTGTGTACTACAGCTTGCTGTAGCTCTAGGGATGTGAGATCCAAAACTCAGTCCCGCTCTTCAGAAGCTTCACTGAGCTCACGGCATTTGCCTGAGTGTTTTTGAGCTCCGTTAAACTTCCCACGGTAACTCCCCAGGCGCAGCCAGCGGATGGCCACATTGTAATGGCATTAAGCCACAAGCTGCAAAGAATGTCTGTTTGCAGTAAGGCAGAAGCAACCCATCTATGTGCGTAGATGTGGTTTAAACCCACGTGCTCCGGTGTTGGCAAATACATACTTTTTGGTTTGGGTTTGCTGTCCCTTAGACCTCTGCTTTATGGATGTAGTTGTTCCAATCCTGTCCCTAAGTATTGCTGTAAGATGAGCTGTGTTTGTGCAAGGGCTGTTTTGTCTTTGTTACAATAGGAGAAATTCTCCCAGCGCAAGATCCCCAGCAAATTTCAGGTTTAGGTGAATTTTTGTCTTAGTGGAGTTGGTGCTGGTCTTAGAAAACATATTTCTATATCAAAACAAAATAATCAACCTGTTGAGATATTACAGCAATTCAGTAAAATGTTTTTCAGGGGAATGTGCTAACAAAACTCAAACCCCAGTGTGTTAACTTACACTTGTCATTGTTGAAGGGAGTGCCAGGTCTCTTCAACCTCACCCACTTGTATGCGGATACAGCCTCTGTATTTTCACTTCTAAGGGAACTGCTGTCTTGTAAAGCCAAATCTGTTTGCTTTATTAGTAGTTCAACATCTTGTGTGGATTGTTGTTTACTTGCAAGTAGAAGCCCTTGTCTACTCATTAAACAGTGAGAGCAGTTCCTTCTGAAAGCAAACTTTTTTAGACCACCAGGCATGGGATAAGCTCATGCAGTTCCTCTGAGGCCTGTGATACTTGAGGGAACTCGAGGAGAGTCTATGATGCTGGGCAGAAGAAATATTTCTTCAGTGTCATTGTGGATGCGGTTTTTAACACTTAAGAGTTAACGTTGGCCATTGAGCTCTTGCGTATCACAGTGGAACAAAGTGCCAGTCCATACTGGTCATGAGTGTTCTTTCCCGATGCCAGTGGGAACTAAAGGATGCTCTGGCCTGGGCAATGCTGTTCTCCAAACAATAGGGGTGTTCACTATTGGCCAAGCTGCTGTAAACTTGAATTTAAGTTACGGGGTTTTTTGTGGTGGGTTTTTTGTTTTTGTTTTTTTTTTTTTTTACTTTGAATTTAAACTTTTAAACTACTACAAACTAAGACATTGATGTTTTCCCTTTTTCCATGTGTCTGTAAACTCCCTGGGTAGTTTTGAGGATTTTTCAGTTCATGTTTATGGATATATCGAACGTTTCAGAACTGCAGTGTTAACTCTGAGCGTTGCTTCTCTTTTGTGGTTGACAGATGAAGGCTGGTTGGAAGTTGTCCAGTCTTTAATTAGAGTTATTCCATTAGAAGATCCCCTGGGACCAGCTGTTATAACGCTACTACTTGATGAATGTCCGCTGCCAACAAAAGTGAGTCTGAAGCGTATGTGCTTATCTGTGGCCGAATTTTGGTTGGTCAGGGTTGCCTCACCCACGGCAGCTTCCGGGTGGCTTGCACCGGTGGTGCAAGACTGTTAGCTGTTCAGATACTGGGTGTGACTTGCAACTTTGAGTAATTTGTGGTGACCTGGTATCTAATTGCTACTTAATCTTGATCTTTAAAGTTCCTTCCAACCTAAACCATTCTGTGATTAATGCTAGAAACACTGGGGGAGGAAGGGGAAGAAAGAAAAAACCCAGATAAATCTGTTCCATGGGGAAGAACAAGAGGCTTTTGGTCTTCAGCTGCTCGTCTTGCTGTCCTCTCCTGCCATGTGGCACGTGTGTGCTGTGCAGCGAGCGTGCACAGATGCCACAAAAGCAGTTCGAGTGCTGCCGTTTGTTCTTGGGTTCTGAAAGCTGCGCGTTTACAAGGCGCCACTGAGTTTGTTCCTGACCTGCGCATAAGGAATGCAACGCAAGCGGGTGTGTTAAGTTAAACAAATGACACTTTTAACCTATGAAACATCTAGGTACAGTTTTGGCAAATCTGAATACTTGTTTTACTGACCACTAATCTGCTTTTTTGGATGAAAAGATGGCCCGTGGTGTTCATCCTGTGGTGCAGGTGTTTTGGAGCCTCAAGCACTTCAAGATGCTCACCATTGTTGGATCCTTTCAACGTGATGATTGTACAGACAACTTGTCTGTCTTCAAGTGCTTGTCATGATCTCATTTCCTTGGAAATTGAGGATGACATCATTGCAGCTTTCACTTATTAATCTACTTCTTGTGCTGCCAATTTTAGTTTTCATGTTGCATTGTTAGGGATATAAAAAGCTGGTAGCTTTTTGCCTTACGTAAATGCATGAGTGGCTGGGGAGGTAGTCAAGCTCTCAAACTGCCAAAGTGTGCTTTTTCCTCTAGGCTACTCATTAAAGTCATCTGCGACTTGAACAAGCTAAATGTTGTATAGTGGCTGTCACATAAACTGCAAAATGATCTTGGAAACAAAGCTTTGACTAGAAATTTTGTCTGCTTTGAAAAAGAAATCGGGAAACAGAGACCACTGTGAATGTGACATAGGACAGGCGATTTTGTAACTTTTTGTTCAGCTATAGAATGTACTTGGCAATTCGATGGTTTGTTTTTCAAAAGCCACATGACTCTTCTTTAGGTACTTTAATTTTAAGGAGTTAGCTGTGGAATAGTTGACCTTAACACAAGATGAAAGGAATAAAAGGCCTGTTTCTGAGGTGCACAGAGGTTTTTTTCACTGTGCAATCTCTTTAGGGCATGAGGAGCTGAGTTGTGGGATCTGCTGGTCACGTGCAGCCTAATAAAGTGTTTGCTGCTGTTCATTTTCTTATTCAGGATAAGCTGAAGTTTTTGGGCTTAAGGGTTTTAAGTCAGTGCCCCACTTCTGTGACAGCTGGAGAATGGCAGCAGGCTGTATTTCATTTTCTGTTATTGTAGGCTATGAAGTCCATAAAGTTAAAATGCCAGTGCAGTAAACTGTTTATTCTATAAAGTCTTTATTTAACTCATAATAGTTGATCTTTGTGGCAGTTCTAATAGTTGCTAAAAGCATTATCAGAGCATGTAGAGAGTCTCTCATTTTAGTGAGGCTTTTCCATCCCAAGTCTGTGGCTCAGTTATCCTTTCTTCTTTCTCTGCTCTTCCCACTTAGCATCATTCCTGTTCATCGATTCTGGGTTTGAGGCTTTTCTTTTGGAAACATAACTGCTTGTCAGTACAAGCCTCAGACTCTAGCGCAGTAAGCTGACTGAAGTGTGGCTCAGAAAACAGTTCAAGAAGACACATACTCAACTTGAGCAGTGCTTTTTTTTTTTCCTTTTTCTCGAAATGATCTGCTGATAACTTCAATGTGAGGAGTTCTTCTCATTTAATTAGATCCTGGCCTGAGATTATGGAGTTTCAATCTCAATCAGCTGCAACTTTCATGAAGTCTGGAAAATTAAGGGGGATTTGGAACTTTTTTGGGGTGGGATTCTCCCTGTGGGATAACTTGTTCTGACTCTAGATTAACCCCGAACTATGAAAATGGAGTGTATGCTCTAGATCCCTCTTGAATTTTATCCATACCTTACTGCCTGAACAAAGCAAGACAAAGCATGGCATTGCAGATTTATTACCCTCACTGGTTACTTCCTAAATCAGTGTGACTACAGAAAGCCACTTACCCTCTCAAGAATATCACAACATCCTGTAAAGCTGGCAGCATCCTAAATTTACGATGGGGATGAGGGCTCTGTTTTTTGGGGGCACGTCTCTTTAGCCCTGAATTTTAAGGTCTAAAATAGCCCTTCTCCCTTGGAAAGGGTGTGGGTTTTAGGGCACTGGAAACAGATGGCAGGAGTGCCATATGCGCCTATGGGTATTGTTTGCTTTGTCTGCTGTTGTAGTTCCTGCTGCTGTAGGTAGTTCCCCTGTGTATGTCCAGAAGTGTCCCGAGTTGTTGATCACAACAATGAGCCGTACTGTGGTGGTAACTCTTAAAGTTACAATTCTTGGGTATGCTGAACTTTTTTTCCCATCTGTTCTTTATTACCATCTTATCTTAGAAGATAAGCATCCCATGCTGTCTGTAATGCGATGATGACTTTAGTAACAGAGTGTAAAACTAATTTGTTGTACTATACTGAATTAGGGGGAAAATTGTGTCTGTCAGGATCGTTGAAGGGATTTCTGATTTTTCTTTTACAGGATGCATTACAGAAGTTAACCGAAATATTAAACTTAAGTGGAGCTGCTGCTTGCCAGGATGCTTGTCACCCTGCCAAACACCGGAATACCACTGCAGTACTGGGCTGCTTAGCAGAGAAGTTAGCAGGTAAAGCCATGAGAGTCTTCTGAAAGCTTGTTTGGCTTGCCAAAGCACCTTCTGCCTTAGGACCCACCATGCAGACTAGTTCCAAAATGCTTTCCTGGAACTGAGTAATGTTCTGCATCGAGGGGAGATCTTGTGTGACAGAATCTACTGCTTGGTTAAAATGTGGAACACTCCCTAGCTTGGGTCTGAATGAGCCATTCACAAGCCCAGATACTTAAAAAGGTCCAATCCTTCTGATGCGTGGTTGGTGATTGTGGATGCGTGTTTGTTTATGGTGTATTGCCTTAGCACTGGTAATCGGCCTTCTCTCTAGGCCTGCCCTGGCTGCGTGTGGATTACTGAAAACACATAGTTCTTTAGCCAGGAAGCAGGAGTATCAAATTAATAGTCTTGGAGGCTGTATAGAAACAAAAAAGAAAGATGCTCTTTCTGCTAAATGTGTATTGTTCTATTGTAGTTAGCTGAAAGGCTTCCCTATTCTGTGTTACTTTAAAGAAAATAGCTGGGATTCTATTTTAAGTTGAATTTCTGCACATAAGTGTTTATTCCCTGTCATTTCTAGTACCCTGCTGGAAACTGATGATTAAGTTTCCAAAATCAGGTTTTCTCTCTAGTTTTTTGCTCCTTTTCTGAAAGCAGACAGGAAAAGGAGGAAAAAGTGATTGTCCAGTATCACCTAATAGTTATTAAAAAATAGTTTCAATATTTCTGTCCAAAAAAAGTAAAGAACAAGGGCAGGAAAACATTTTTGTACTATAATACTTCTACCCTGTTATACTAAGTCAAAATGAGATCCTGTATTTACTTTTGTCTTAGTGGACAGAGATCTCATTGTATCAGCTCAGCCAGGAAATCTGTTAACGCTGTGTTGGAAACCAATTGCAATTTGTTGGTAAATGGAGCTGGTCTTTGACTCTGGAAGTAAAGGGGAGCCAGTCTCTTTTGAAAAGTAATGAGCATGAAAATGCCAAGCAGAGGCTGGTGGAGCCTTACTTCAAAATCTCAGGAGTGTAGCTAGAACTCTGTACCCACTTACAGCAGGTAAACCGAATGTTTGTAACTTGCCAGTAACTAATTATTAAATGTGTGGCAAATATTTGGCTGTGAGCAATAATTGTTCTAAATTATAGTTTTGCTTTGCTGCGAAGTTCTTAGATGTTCTTTAATTTGTTGCCTTGTGTTTAAAAGATGTGCAATGATGACTATGGTAGTTCCCATGAATTGACTTAATTTTTCATGTTCTTGTAGGTCCTGCAAGTATAGGCTTACTCAGCCCTGGCATATTGGAATATTTACTTCACAGCTTGGTAAGCATCTTTGTGTCTATACATAGCAATTGTAATGCAGTTTTATTGTTGCGAAAAGTCAGGGTCGTGTTTGGTAAACACCAGTAATGTATGCTATAGAAAGAGACTCTGGAATCTCAGCTGAGATCTCCATCCTTGGAGATAATTAGAAGGTAACAGGAGATGTGCAATGAGCAGCCTCGTCGACTCAAACCAGCTCTGTACTGGAGGGTGGACTAGAGGAGCTTCGAGGCTCCCTGTCTACCTAAAGCGTTCCGTGACAGACTAACAGCTTTACCTGTCTGTCTCTGCTGGGTATTTATTAAATAACTTTTCTTACTTCCCATGTTTAGAACTTCCAGTCGCATCCGACGGTGATGCTTTTTGCACTAATAGCCCTGGAGAAGTTTGCACAAACAAGTAAGTATTCGCCTGACGCTGCTCTTAGCTGTCATACTTTGGTTTCTACTGCATGAGTGTCACTTGCTTCATCTGGTAACAGCTGTGAGCATGAGAGAGACTGGATTGCTAGAAACACAAATGTAGAAGAGAAATGGCTGTCCGCTTCCAGGCACAAAGAAGTATTTATTGCTTTAGTGACATCCCTCTACCCCTCAAAAGCCTTGAGGTATTTGCTGAAACTTGGGGCAGTCCTTCTCAGTCAGGAATTGCTGTAGAAGGACTAATGACATGAGGCCTCTGTCACTGAAGTAAATCTGTATTAGAGATGGAGAACAGCTACGATATAGGTGTTTGCAGGCAGGAAATTTACTGCTTTAATGACACCTCCCCCCCCCCCCCCCACAAACCCTTAAGAGATTTGCTGAAACTCAGTTTTTCTCTGCTTAGAAATTGCTAGATAAAGACTTACAACATGAGACCTTTGTTACTTGAAAGGAAATCAATGTGTATCAGAGAGATGGAGAAGAGCAGTGATCTGACAGTCCCTTGATGCAGCTCCGTTCTGGGAAGCACTATATCCGAGCGCCATGTTTGCTACACGTCTGCTTGGGAAAGAATTTCAGGCTGTTTGTAATACTGTAGTTTGAAGGTGGGGGAGGAAGTTCTACTGCGTTTGTAGGATGTTACTGTTTTTAACTAAACTTACCCCTGGTTTATAGCAGTTACCCTTTTTTGTTCTTAAATTGCAGGTGAAAACAAAATGACAGTTTCTGAGTCATGCATTAGCGACCAACTGATCCTGCTAGAGAAATGGACGGATAATCCAGACTATTTAAAACGCCAGGTTGGATTCTGTGCCCAGTGGAGTTTAGACAATCTGTGTAGGTATAACAAGGGGACGGACTCGCTTAATATTGATCGCTTATCCAAAGAGATGGAGGATTACTCTGTTTGCTTTGTGTAAGCACTTACTGTAAACATACCTGACTGCATTTGTAATCACTCTCCTTCAAAAAAAACCAGGGGGTTTGGGGGGCAAATAAATCCAATGTAATTGCATGGGAAGGAAACTTCAGCAAGAAGGAAAATGTTTGTGGAAGGAAGTGGTTTGTACACTGCAAGTTAGAGCTGCAATGAAAATTCTTCTCTGCACCCTATTTCCTGTAACCCACACTTCAGCAGACGTGCTGAGTAGCTCAGTAGCACAGCTCTGTCTCTCGGTGGAACCGCTGGATTACTGACACATCCTGGTGACAGTCACTCCTGGGATCAGACCCCAGCAGTGCACAGCCTCAAAAATTATTGAAGACTTTTTTTAAAGTCAAGATAAAATCTTGTGATCAAAAGTGAAAAGTGTTTGAAGCACTTTGATTTTTAGGATAGATCTAGCAAATTCACTTCTTTAGTTGTGACTTGGAAGGGGCTGCCCAGGGAAGTGGTGGAGTCACCATCCCTGGAGGTGTTCAAGGAGCGCGTAGATGTGGCGCTTGAGGACATGGTCTAGGGGGTATGGGAGTGCTGGGTTGATGGTGGGACTGGATGATCTTATAGGGCTTTTTCAACCTCAGTGATTCTGTGATTTCAAGGGGCAGCAACCCTAAGGACCTTGTTTCTAATGTCAGCTGTGTTTAGTAAACATCTGTGTAATTGTGGTAGCAAGTTTGGGTTATATGAAGGGTAGAAAAGCTCTGATTTGTAAACTAACATACACGTGGCAGCAATTTGACACCTGGCAAGAGAAATGCTTCTGATCCTTCCGTGTGAAAAGGGGATGCAGGGAAGAAGGAGCAGCTTTAACTCAGCCACCTGAAAATGACAGGGAAAAAATTTAAATCCGTGTTTTCCCTTTCTCCTTCTTCCCCATCCCCAAAATCATATCCGTTGTGATGAATCAGAAAAACTCTGCCCAACTGGATGTACAAATACAATGGTAAGTTCCTGAAACAGTGGCATCTTGCTGCGAACTTGGATGCCTTACGTTGGCTGTGGGTTTCCTGGAAGTAGTAATCGGGCTGTAGGAGCTCTGGTCAGAGGTATAGGTTGTGCTCTGATGCTTAGAGGATATTTAACGCACCGTGTATCGCCATTGATGCTGTTTTCGTGCAGGCAGAATGTCAATGTTTCATTCCCTTATGCCAAAAATCAACGGGATCCTAGAGAGATTGATTGCCACTGTGTGAAATGTTTAGAAGAATGTTTTGCTGCAGCAGTGATTAAAACCAGCTTTATTTTGCAGTTTTAAAAGAAGGCAGGCAATTTACGTATGAGAAGGTTGACTTGACCAACATTAGGGCTATGCTGAACAGTAATGACGTCAGCGAATACCTGAAGATCTCGCCGCATGGGTTAGAGGTGAGATACCATTTCATGGCTTCAACCTAGAAAGGAGCCTGAAGAAAAAGAAAGGTTTAAACTATTTTTGTTTGTTACTTCCTCCTGTGATTTCCTAGAACGAATCAGAATTCTCTGCCAGCTTTGTATGGCAAACTTGCTTTGTCAGAGGGTTGTAACGCCACTGTGCTGATCTCGATGGTAAAAATGTTCGTAGTAAAGTAATGCCTGTGCCCCAAAACTTGAGAAAAGTGAGGAGGATGCTTAAGCATCTGCTGGCTTTTCACTCATTTTGACTAAGATTGTTCACAAAGCATAATTCCTATGGCTTGTCTTGTCCAGTCCTGGAAAGCCCATAGCAGTAGGATTTTTGTCTCAGCAAAATTTTTCTTATTTTTATTTCCTCTTACTTTTTCTAGAAACTTGTTTGACTAATTATAGATTAATTTTCTTGATTTAACATTGAATACCTGTCAGTCCTCTGTACCAGGAGTCAACTAACAACCAATGGCTTAGTCTTCCTGTCTTGGTTGTCTTAGCCTTTAAATCTTTAAATTGACTCTGTCAGCTCTCTACTTCCCACCCCCCTCCACCCCCGCTGTGGTTTACCACTGAACGACTTTCAGTCTTGCCTACTCGCTACTTTGTGTGACAATTACTGCTATAAGGAGAGGTCGCTTTCTGTCCCAAGTGCCTCTAGAATTGTGTTGGTGTATTCTTCTATGCAAGAAACTTTGGTCCAGGGAAGAAACGCTAATTCTGTAGAAACTTTAATTCTGGCTTCGGTTTTGGCAGGCTCGATGCGACGCATCATCCTTTGAGAGCGTTAGATGTACGTTCTGCGTTGATTCCGGAGTTTGGTACTATGAAGTGACCGTCATTACTTCAGGAGTGATGCAGATAGGATGGGCTACCAAAGACAGCAAATTTCTCAACCATGTGAGTACATGTCCTGTCATCCAGCCGATGATGTAACTTCAGTGTTTTTTCTACTTACAACACCTATGAAAATACCTCTGGTTATTTTGTGGGAGTAACTGAGCACCTGTGTGTTTCTGTACATTTTTTTGGTACTTGGGTGGAGCTATTTTTGCTGCATTTAGCGGCACAAGAAAAGGCTGTGTTGTCATCGCTGCAGACGGACACTTCGCACAAGTCGTGTGTAGCTGCTGGCAGTGACAGCTTGTAGCCGAGTTGCTGTTGTCTGGAAGCTACAGGGAAATGGCTTCTGTCTTGCGGCTTAGTCTCTTCTTGGAAATTCTTGAGATAACAGCAGTGGTTACTGCCTGTTCTCGTGAAGTGAACAACTGCTCACTAGGAGCTAGCAGATTATCATGCGCTCACTTTTACACAGGTCACAAAGCAGCCACTTGATTACCCTCTTTAACATGCTTTCCTATTAAATTAACTTTCACAAGGGAAGTAATTATTTAAATTGACTGGGATAGTGTGGTATCATTGGGTCTGCTGGTAGCAGTAATATGGTACAGTTTGGGTATGTGGCAGCTTCTTTGCAATTAAAAATAAGGATTACAGAAAGATTTTTAACCCTTTTCCTTTTTTCCTTTATTCTGACAATACAGAACAAGTACACTGTCTTATTTTATAGTTTGCTTTGCTCTCCCTCTCATTCAGATGAATATCTTATTTTTACTTCTAAGTATTCTTCCTCCTACTATTTGGTTTTAACATTACGTACTTACTAGCCTTAAAGGAAAATGTGCCGTGCGCACATCAGGTCCAAACTTATGGTCAAGGAATAATCTGAAATGTTAGTAGAGATGGTTGGATGAGGCTTTGAGCAACCTGGTCTAGTGGAGGATGTCTCTGCCTGTGGCAGGGGAGTTGGAACGGGATGGTCTTTAAGGTCCCTTCCAACCCAAACCAGTCTGTGATTCTCTGTAACTAGGTAGTCTTTCTTCTGAAATCTTCATGGTAACTCTGTACAGCTGTTGTAAACTCAGTATGCTGTAAGCCTATTTGCTTCAGTATTTCCGTTATATAAAAGAAAGCATGATGGCCACAGCCAAAAAACTTGTGTGCTTCAACTTAGAGAAGACTTTCCATATTATCAACCTTCCAAACTTGGATTAAAATCCATTAAAGTGCAAGCTAGAATTTCAGTATAAATGGTGTGTATGGCCCAGCCCACCGCCACAGACTGACATGGAAATACAGGGCTGGAATTTTAAGTTGACACTTCTACTGGCTGAGCCTCAGTAAGGAATGTACCTGTAGCCTTACTTTTATTGTTGTAATTGCATGGTTTTCTGTTCAAACTAGGAATTTAATTTAGGAGAAGAATTTTATATAGATATATATATTTATTTATTGTAGAGATAAGCAGTTAAAACTGCTCATTTCTGATTATTATAGAAAAAGTCATTCTGCAGCTGAGTCAAATGCAGAAGCTAATATGAAGATAGGCCAAATACATGTGAGTAAATATTGATGGTGGGTGGTATGAGAGAAGTACATCAAGGAGATGAAACAAACACCAGTGGCAGGAAACCCAGAAGGAATGGGAGAGTAGCTTTTTGTCACCATTTAACTTAAGTCTTCCCGTGAGTTCAGTGGTCTTGCTCCATTTTTTTTCTAATTATTAATGTAAATAATATTGTCCTCCACTGTGTCTCTACATCACATCCAAAGTCCAGTCCCACGTTTCTAGCATGGAATTGCAAGTGTGATTTAAATTTTAAGAAAACCAACCAAAGAACAAAACCAAAACAACCCACAACCAAAAAAAAATACCATACAGAGCTGTCCTGAGCACAGGCACTGTCGACACTGAGTGTAATGGAAACTGTTTGAAATAAAAGGCTGTGTGTCTGCCTTTAGACTGCTAAGAGGCTTAAAAGATTTTTCCCACTTAGTGTTAAGGAGCTTGGTGAATGTGCATTTTTCTCTCTGTGCTTCCTGTACAAGGTATGAAAATAGGAGATGTAGCATCTGTGGGCAGGATGATTTTCTGTTGCTATACCTATGGTTAAATGCTACTGTTTAAGTTCACCAGGTGTTGTCTGCCAGAAATGCAATGATATCTTCGGGGTAGCTCACAAACACAGCCATCAGAGTAGCCATCTGCTCTTTATTTACAGCATGTGTAACAAAAAGTCTAGTCCTAAATATGACATTAAACACCCATTAGCTGGGCTTAGCTTTAATTTGGGACATCTGAGGCTCGTCTAATCGGTATTTTCACCCCAGACCATGCTGAGCACGAGGAAATTATCTTCCATAATGCTTTTGGGTTTCACGTTTGTGCTCTCCTGCAGGACAGGTTCTGTGCTACCTGAAACTTGTAGTTTTGCATTTGTCTTAGACCCTGGGACCATCACTTGATGACCTCTTCACAAATTGAGGGAGGCTGGCACTGAAAGAGGCGTGATGTGCAACAGATTCAGTGAAGGGACTAGGGGTTTGCTCCCTTTCTCTGAACGGTCTGTTCTGGTTGCACATGTCTGTCTTGGGGGAGAAGGTATTACAAGTCTGGAACTGGGATGTCAAGATAAGAGTGGTTACACTTCTACGTTGATTTTTTAACATGCAAAATAATAGCTATTTGGGTGCTAGCCTTCTAATTTTTAAATGGTTCAATAGATGGGAGTGATTTGAGCTCTCAGAGAATGAACACCACTTTGGAGGCAATACCCTCTTCTTCCCCCCTCCTCACCCCAATAAATCCCTTTTGATGTGACAATGAAACTAAGACTAGTTTGGAAAAATCACCTTTCCGGGGTGGGAGAAACCCTTCCTGCTCTTGGATGAGTGGAGGATGATGGAGGAATGGCTGGAGACTGAAATGCTTTACTCTTTTCCTGAAGGAAGGTTATGGCATCGGGGATGATGAATACTCCTGTGCATACGATGGCTGCCGGCAGCTGATTTGGTATAATGCCAGAAGTAAACCACATTCCCATCCCTGCTGGAAAGAAGGTATTCAGTCCGTCTTCTGCTGTTCATCCTACCTGGATGTCCGAGTAGGATATTTCCTCTTGCAGGTGTCTAGAAAGCAGTTTGTTAGTAATTGCAAACAGAGCAGTTACTGCCTAATCCTGATGATACTAAAGGCTTAATAATTATTGTGCCTTTACTAATATTCGCAGTGGGTTAAATGTATAAGTTGGGCACCACACTCTTGTTCCACAATCTGTGTAAAGAGAATATTTTTGGTTAAATGCTTTTTCTTTCATAGGCAGAATACAAACTGTAGCACCAGTGAATGTTGCCAGACACTTACTCATAAGATACTTCTCCAGATGTTTGTAGCCCTACAAAACAGGGTTGAAATCTTCCTTCCTGGGTTGAAAGAGTTATTTTAAAGAATGGAAAAACACTTGATCTCTGAATTAGCCTTTTTTTTTTTTTAATTATTATTACATTTAAGGAACAGGATTTGTACTGTCTTGCTTACTTTAAATTCTTGGATGACTACTTGGACAGTAAAGTTCCGTTTTTGATCTCGGCTTTGAAATCTTGGTCGGAGTCTGTGCTTGCCATGCACGTATGACCTGTGCCTTCCATTAAAAACTTCTCCCAAGGATGGCTAAATTAAAACACTTCTTAAAAATAAATAGAACAAGCACATTAGAAACCTAAGCTATAGCAAGTATGTGGTCTGAGGATATCTTCAACGGGTATAAAATAGCCAAGGAGAGGCAGAGTGCAGCTTTTTTCTGGCTTGAGCAAATACTCTGCAATACTTCTGCAACTGTATAGACTGAAATACCTTTTTTTTTCCTACTATTTTGTCCTTTTTTTTCTTCAGTTACTGTCTGCATCAATGTGTTTTCCTTTATGCTTTTGCAAACAGTTCCTTTTAAGTGAGACATATGTGAGACTTAAGGCATATGTGATATTTAAAACAATAACCGTTTCAACAGTTGGCATTTAACAGAATTGAAATCTCTAAATTATTGTTGTTTTGCATGTAAGGAGACACAATAGGATTTCTACTAGACTTGCAAGAAAAGCAAATGATCTTCTATTTAAATGGAAACCAGCTTCCTGCCGAGAAGCAAGTATTTTCATCTGCTGTGTAAGTATGTGCTCATCTGGAAGGACAGTGACCTGTATGGATAATTGTTTTAATTACATGAAGTGTTTGCCGTTGGTGATGTAAACTCATATTTGCTTCCCTGAAGCAATCGTTAAGCAGGTTTCCCAATTGAAAGTTGCTTAGAAATCGCTGAGAAGGATATAATTTTACAGGTGGATTTTGGGGTTCAAAATAAATACTTTGGACCTTCCAAAGCTAGGTTCAACTCGATGTTTGCTGCTGCCAAACTAGAATGAGGCTGTAGCACAGGTGAACGAATTTTGGTAGTGCTTGAGAAATTTTTGACCTCTTCAGACATAAAGCCTAAGTCCTGTAGGTGCTGAAGAGTGCGTATTGCTGTGCTGCCGTTCACTGGGGCCAGCTCCTGTAGTAGCAGATTGAATAGTCACAGAGGACATGTCCCTCTGTAGCGTTACAGAAAGGTGTTAGGCTTGTTTTCCCAACTCTGTTAATTTTAACACATGGCTGACCCCTCTGACTCTCATGGAGAAGTTCAGCCTTTTGGTTCTGAAAAGAAAAGCTGCTGTGGTACTTGAGAGCTTTTACTATACAGCTTAATTAAACATTACAACACTTTGTAAATTAATACTACTATGTTAATCATTTCATGTTTTCTCTGCAAAATGAAAAATGCAAGCAAAAATAGTTCAGTTCAAAGAGTTGCAGAGTTTGTCTATCCAGTTTGCAGTACTCTGTTTTTGTGTGGAGTGTGTCATTTATATACTCGACAGACTCTGTTACTTGGGTAGAACGTAGAGTATTCCCCCCAGGTTAGGTAATTACTCAGGCACTTTCAGTAAATAAAGCTGAAAGAGGTGATAATTGTGGTGTTTCTACAAGGTGGCTGTGAACAGACAGCTGTCCTGGGGTAATCCTGCAGGGGCAAGGAGGAACAGATGGGCGCTGTGCTAAGAGAGCTCAGACCTGGATTCATCCTGCACGGGTCCCACGCAGCAAGTGGACAAGCGTTACAAGTTCCCCAGGCTTGCGCCTGCTCAAATAAAGCAGCAGGAGCGGTGGACGTGGAGGTGTCCCTTGCAGTGGTACTGCTCCTCACAGTCTGCTTGACAGCAGTTGTTTGAAGGAGAAACGCTTTTTCTGGTGGTGAAGGAGGTATCCGAGGGGATCAGCGTAAAGAGGATCAGGTTGTGGGCTGTTCCGATATGTGTCTGCTCTTAGTGCAAGTGTGACTAATCCTAGTTGTAGAGTAGGCAGCCTTTGTTGGCTGACTGAGTAGTTAATTCAGGTAAAGGCTGATGGCAAATTCAGAAGTTGGTAACTAAATAAGAGAAGTATGTGCAGCTGAAACTGGATGTGTTGGAGGTTTTTCTCCCAGTTAGTTGTAGAGCATTACTAGTGAAGGAACTTGCCTCTCTGTTTCAGGGTGTATTTTTGTCTGGTAATAATTGTAAGATGTCTGGAAAGCTCTACTATTAAGTCGTTCTAAAATATCTGTTGTTCATCATATTGCAGATCTGGCTTTTTTGCTGCAGCTAGTTTCATGTCCTATCAACAATGTGAGTTCAACTTTGGGGCAAAACCTTTCAAGTACCCACCATCAATGAAATTTAGTACCTTTAATGATTATGCCTTTCTGACAGCAGAAGAGAAGATCATTTTGCCCAGGTAATCCTCCTGTCCACTTGGACCGTGTTTGCATATGGGGAAATAAAATGCTTTGCTTCCGAGTTGCATAGTCTTACGTTGTACTTGGCAAAGTTACCTTTTACGGGCTCATGCCTCCAAAGGTCCCTTGCAGAAAAGGATTAGACCATAGGCTCCAGTGCAACTTAGTGAGTAAGGCAGGAGATACGCAACTAAAATCCATTGAATTAAAACTATTTTTGTAAAATGAAAATTAACCAGTACTGCACAGCAAACTGGTTTTAGCATAAGTGCCTCCTGCCATCTAAGAATGATTAGGTTTGTTGAGGAGGTGTAGTCTTAATTTAATCTTAAAAAAAAAAAAGGCTTATTTAAAATTGACCTAATTTGTGATGTTGGCAGTGTGGAGGTACTAATGATTGTAAAACTTGAAGTTCTCCTTTTTTTTTTCTGATCCAGATGAGCGTTTCTCAATTTAAGAACAGTACCGACAAACATTATGCAAATTTAGAAGTGCTTTCCCACCTAAATATAAATCAAGCCAGATAGAAACAGGCTTGGATGGATTTTTCCTTACCTTACCAGATTTCTGGCAGGAATGAAAACTAATAGCTTTTCTGGTTTAGGTCATGAGTAACAATTTACTGTACCACAAACAGTAACAGTATACTGTGTAATCTGGGATATAGCGTGCCCTGGATTTGCAGCTGTGCTGGTTTTAGTTGGGATAGAGTTAATTTTCATCCCAGGAGCTGGTGTGAGGCTGTGCTTCGGGTCTGGCTAAACCGCAGCAGCAGCTTTGTCTGAAGTTGGCCCTCTAGAGCGGTGCTGACGCACAGGGTTGAAGTAATCATGTTACACCTATTTAAGTGGGGGTGAGGGGTTTTGGGGGTGGGTACCCCGTCTATAATCAAATTCAGAGGCTGGTTTATGAATTATCTGTTTGATCAAATGTGCTTGAGGTACTTTGTGTTTAAGAAGAATCACAATTTGGCAGAGTTTGAGGCTTGTGATACTGTGTTTGTGCAGAGAAACTCAAATGCAACTTGCAAGACCACTGTGTACTTATGTAGAGTAATTTACACCTGGTTGTGACTGCAGGGCCTTGAAGCCAGAGTCTGATTTAATCCCTTAAGGTGACCCGTTGGTTACCGTTAATGGTCAGCCCCCTTTTCCCAACTGAGTGTTCTTCTGTCTTATTAGTGTCACGCCCTAGATGAGGGCCTTCGCAGTTTTTGGCCGATGATCAGAGGTGACTGTTGGTGTCATTCTGCCCCTACCCTTGCCGTGTTTAGCTGTGAGAGCTGTTACTTGATTGAGCCAAAAGGTGCAGAGAGAAACTGGGGGAAACTGGTTTCCTCTTGGGGCCTGACTGGAAAACATTGGCCTCCTGTGGCCTGTTTTGTACATGACAGCACTGAAAGGCTGCATTCAGGGTAGGACACTGTTGCTCTTTGTGTAAATAAGGATCATCCCTGCCCTACAGCCTGGACTAAGCCAATCCTTAAATTAAGAGATAGTTTTGATCTTAAAAATGATAGGAAAAAAAGGCAAGGGCCTGAGCAGGCCCTAATCACCCATCACAGGACTTAGCACGACTAGGTGAGTTTGTTGAATTCAGTGCATCTGGTGTGGGGCGCAGTCTGGGCTAGGCACATCGCCCTGCCCTTCAACAGTTCTGGTGTGTCGTCTGCGTGTCCCAGGTCTGAAACGTCTTGTGTCACCGAATTGGGGGGTGGAGAGTGAGTGTTACCCTTTTACTGTCCTTATGGCCGTTGCCATACTGGGCTGTTGATTTCATTTTCAATTTCTGTTCTTTTAAACTGTGTTACAGCATTATGGGATTTCTGAGTTTTGTTGATACATGGGTTTGTGTGGTGCGTTTTTTCCTCTTAACTCTTAAAAGAAAACAGATACTAAAGAACAATTTTTTTGGCTAGGGGAGCTAGAAAAATTGTGATCTAACACATTCTTTGTCCCTTTCTGACAGACCAGAGTAGGGAGTTAGAGACAGTTTTGAATGTTTTACAAGGGTCTGTAGTGACAGGACAAGGGGTAACAGGTTTAAATTGAAAGTGGGGAGGTTTAGATTGGATATCAGGAAGAAGTTCTTTCCGGAGAGGGTGGTGAGGCACTGGGACATGTTGCCCAGAGAAGCTGTGGATGCCCCATCCCTGGAAGTGTCCAAGGCCAGGCTGGATGAGGCTTGGAGCAACCTGGTCTAGTGGAAGGTGTCCCTGCCCATGGCAGGGGGGTTGGAACTGGATGATCTTTAAGGTCCCTTCCAGCCCAAACCAGTCTATAATCTCTGGGTGTATTAACCCTTCTTTTGTGGGAAGTTATGATCGCTGTTGAGTAGCATGGACAAGTGTTGCATTGGTCATGATGTGATACTCAGGGTAGTAACAAATCTATTGTTTTGAGTCAAATTAATATGTATGGGGGTTCTCTCTCTCTCTTCAGGCACAGGCGCCTGGCGTTGTTGAAGCAAGTGAGTATCCGAGAGAACTGCTGCACGCTTTGCTGTGATGAGGTAGCAGACACGGAACTTAGGCCGTGTGGACACAGGTAAAACCTTAAAAACAACCCAGAACCAGAGAAACAGGAAAATGTGTGTTTGATGTTCAGCTTATGGGAGATTAGATACAGTCCCTGCTTAGCTTGATTGACTCCCCAGCATAAAGGAAATAACCCCTGTTTTGATGGATGCAACAGAGGTTAAGCATAGTATTCCCACTGTTCCCCTCACCCTAGATATGAACAGGTTTAATCCCTAATTGTGGGTGTATATGGAGTTGGGGAAGTACTGTGGCTACCAAGTCTTAATTCCCTGATATCAAAGGTATCACGGTGAGTACTTGGTTAGTACTGGTGAAATCCAAATCACATGAGAAGAGCAGAAAATTCTCTACATGCTCAAATGCTCATTAAATGTTCAACAAATGGATTGTCTCAAGTCACAAATTCATCTAGAAGCTAAAAATGGGACAGCAGTATGAGTAATACCGTAACAGCACTTTGCTTTGACTTAAGCAGCCAGTTCCTTAGTGGTTTTGAGCACTTGTGGAAGCAGCCTTGCCATAGGTCTTCTGTCTGGATGCCGCAAAGATAGAGACAGGTCCGCTGTCCCTCAACAGGAATTGGGGACAGCTTCATGCAGGCACTGGGGCAGCTGTTCTCCAGACCAGAGCAGTGTTGAGATGAACAAAAGCATGTGGGTGCGATCCCAACCAGCTGCACTGGCCGTTCCAGGTCTGGAAGGTGCTGGGCAGCAGGAGCTCCTCCCAAAGCCTGTGGACCCGCAACACTGGACTTGCAATTCCTGACCTCCACACTGACAGATTTACCTTGGCTCTGTTTCTAGCAGGCTGACTAAACTGCTTAATGCTTGGATTTTTTTGTTTTCACTTAGTTTTTCATACTGTAAATGCAGGCTTTAACTGATTTTTTTTTTCTTCTCCTTCAGTGACCTGTGCATGGAGTGTGCCTTGCAACTGGAGACCTGCCCGCTGTGTCGACAGGAAATACAGACGCGTGTCAGACAGATCTCTCACATTTCATGACACACGTGGAGAAAGCCCACAGACTTGTTTTTAAGGAACTCCAACCAATACTGAAAGGGGAAAGCATCTCTAACCAATGTTAACGCACATAGAACCATAGCCACGGCCAGATTTCATGCTAAACTGTAATCTGTTTATCTTAAAAATGAAATCTTTAATAAGCTATTTCAAGTTGCCGGCAACGGGGACTGGTTTCCGCTGTAAGGAGAGCTGGTAGGTCATCGGGCTATGGCTATGGGTTCCTCCAAGCAAGACCCTAGGAGAGTATCTCTTCTTCCCCCTTCTCGCCTGTCGCAAGTGCTGAAAAAGTTTGCACTGGAAGTACACATACGATGCGGTTTAGAAAAGAAGATAAAAAGTATCTCCTAAAACAGGGCCGTTCAGTCTTGTGCTGGAAAGTCTCTATTTTTGGCAGAAGTCAGTGCTCTAAAAAGAGAATGCCAATGTTTTCCCGTTTAATGTAGCCTCCTGCTGGTCAGAGACTCTTTATTTTCCGACAGTGGATATTAAACTGCTCAAAGACTTTATCTGGACACAGACTGACTTGAAAAGACAGTGTGGAGACTGTAGAGAAACTCACTTGTTTTAATAACTTGGTGATTCCAAAGAATGTTCTGATTTGTTTTTAAACGTTAAAAGATCGGTGGTATTTTCCAGTACATAATGTTTCTGATGCTTTTAACTTCAGTACCCACATTTTTTTGTGAGGATATAATTTTCAGGAGGTATTCTTAACTAATTATAACGCTGGACTGGAATTAATTTGATATTCTGGGTATTTTTTAAGCTATCATTGAACATCTTTTTTAATCAGTGTTGTTTTTGAAAGTTATGTTCACTTTGGAAATATTGAGCTGTCTTAAAAGATTGGAGAATTCTGGGCCAGTTTATTTAAAAAAGGTTATTTGGATAGCAAGTTTGGTCTTATTCTGTGTCTCGTTAAAAATGCACCTTGCTTGCCACGTGTCAGCCCTGCTCTGAGCAGGTTTGGGGCCACAGTTCATATTTTTGATAGGGATCATACAGTGGGAATCTCTGCTCCAGTTCAATTACACATTTGTGATGTTTGTATGTTAAGGATGCATTTCAGCAGGCAGCTTTTGACTGGTTTACTAGGTTTCTACAAGGAATCAGGGTTCACAGCTGGTGTTGGTGAAGTAGCACAAAAACTGGTGGAGTTAATGCTTATTTTGCACCAACTGAGGATACGACTCGCTCTCTTCCAAGACTTGTACAGGTCGCTTTTGGTTTTTTAAATTGTCTGGCTACATAGTAGAGCTTTACTAATTCACACACCCCCCCAAAACCATCCCACTTCTTGGCAGTGATTCACCAGCAGAGGCTGTTGTAGTGAGTTCTCATGCTGCGTTGTATCTGGTTTCCGAGTCATTTGTTATCTTCACTGTACTATCAAGTATTAACAAAGCAGAGCTGAGGCTGCGTCTTCCTGCTGACTCCCTACTGAGCGGAGAGTTCTGCCCACCACTCCCAGAATAGAGCTCTCCAGCAACTCCTTTCACCTTCTGCCTTTGCCAACTCGAGGGTGCTGAATTTCATCCAGAGATGATTTAAAAAAACATCTCCACTGAACCTCTGGAGTCCACAGTGTGTGAATTAGGAAAGTTCTGGCCATCGCTTTCTTGTTGACCTTTTCCCAAATAGGGACTGAATCCAAAAATGGAGTGCTGGTTAGCCTTTTCGCCAAGATGTGCGTTCTCTTCTGCCTTGGAGGCCTGTTTGGATTGACGTTGGACTGGCCAGTCTGTGCCCCAGGGACCCCGTTTCCTCACTGACTGTACTTTACGATGCTGTGCTGTAATCCACATTGCCAGTCAGGGCCGAGTCCTTTCCTGCTCGGTGCTGAATGAGCAAACACCGTCACTGCCACAAAGGATCTTCGAATTTCCGAATCACTTGAAGTTTTAAATGCTTCCAAATGCAATGGTAGGTTTTTAATCCCTAAAGTACCAAGATACAAACTGTATTTTAGGGAAGAGGTGGAACAGAACCATTTTGAACTCTGCCTTAATAGATTCTAGTAACTTCAGGGCTTTGGTTTCCCTGGCCAGGATTAACTGAGGTAAAATTTTCAGAAGTGCCTAGGACTCCTGATTTGTATCAGCTGCTGCATGAGATTAAGCTCTTAGTGGCCCAGGTACACAAAGGCTTCTGGGTGTCTGGTGTCCCCTTGAAATGGAGGTGACCTAAGCCTTGACGCCTTTGTGGCCATGGGATTAAGTGCTGGTGTTCTTTGTTGAAAAGTTGAGAATGCTTTGGAAAATTTTGCCCCAGACTGTCTTCCATGCAGCTGGTGCTGGGCAGAGGAAGCCGGTGGTGCTGGTGGAGGAAGCTGTGTTGCAGAGAACTGTCCTGTTCATTTCACAAAGGGAAAGACTGTACAATTCAACTGGCTTTCTGCTGAAATCCACCGTGGGGGTGTCTTGTAAAGCTTGATCCTCCATGCCTGGGGCAGCGCCACCCTCGCTCCCCTCATGCCCCAGAGGGGCAGAGGCGGGGAGGCAGTGGCTCTGCAGGCCCTCTGAAAGGGAAATGAATTGTAGCAAAGTTGTCTGTTCAACAATAAAAACTGTCTTGAAGGCGTTTGTTGTTCTCTACATCTTTTGCTTCTGAGAGCCAGGGTTACGGACCTGTCGGTGCTGGAGGGTGATGCAGGCTGCCTGAGGCTGTGGGAGCTGTCTCTTGAACAAGAAGTTAGCCCTGAGGCGGAAAGGCAAGTCCAGGGCCAGGCCTCTGCGGAATATTCGAGCACAGCTTCCCCCTGGGGTGACCTGCCGGCCTTAGGGGGCTGTGGCCCTGGAGAAGTTCGCTGTCCCTCAGCCCTTAGGGCCTTGCTC